AGATTCGTCGGGTCTCCTTTTCTATCCGTGTAATTCCATGAAAGATCAGTAGGATCGTTTTTAAAGTATCGATTTGGAAAGTAGAGATTTCAAGCTGTAAAATGCTTTTTTGAACATCTTGATATTATTATTTTTGACGAAGTTGCTCTATCTTGAAGTTTGCCTATTTTTAGAGAGCCTAGAACAGGTGATCCTTTAATTTTTTGGACCAGTGTATAATCATGCATAATCCATGTATGAATTTTTTACATTTTTTATATATTATAGATTTTCATATTTTATATAAACTTTAATATGACGTACATGCAATTATCCATATGGATTTCTGTATGGATTTTAATGACATGGTTATCTGCATGGATTTCTCATATAATGGATTTTAAACATAATATGGTTATCCACATGGATTTCCATATGAATTTCGAATTTACCATGACAATCCATATGGATTTCCATGGAAATCCACATGGATTTTTCAACAGGGATATCATATTTTTTGTGAATATATCTATATTTATAGAAATGTAATATCTTTTGTTCATTTTTTATTAGATCATCCGGAAATTCCAAGTAGAATAGGCAAAATTAACAATGTGGAAAAATTTGATGCGGATTTCTTCGGATTATCTTTCGAACAAGCACATACACTCATTCCTGAAGCGAGAATGTTATTGGAACATTCTTATGAAGCAATTATCGATGCGGGAATCAATCCGAAACAATTGCAAGGAAAAGATACTGCTGTGGTCATAGGGGCAGCTTATACTGAATCACAAAAAAAGTTTTTATATGAGACTGCTCAGGTAAAAAAAAAAGATTAATTAATATAATATAATAGGAAATTATTGTATTTATTACTTGAAAACAAGAAATTGTAATACGCTATAAGATTTTGTAATTTAGATAGGAGGTCACTCTATTATTGGAAGTAGCAAAACTACATTAGCAAATATGATTTCATACAATTTCAATCTGAAAGGTCCATCATATACCATTGATACAGCATGCAGTTCTAGCCTTTCTGCCATGGCCGTTGGTTATGATCTTATCATGTCCGGCATATGCGAAGACGCAATAATTGGAACTGTAAACTTATGTTTTCTTCCCGTTGGAACTCTACATTTTTTCCGGCTTGGTATTTTTTCAAAAATTAATAAGTTTCTTAATAAAATTATAAAAACACACTTCTCTTATCCACGAAAATTTAGTGAAATAAAATTTAACTGATTCAATAAATTTTATAAACGTCTGTAATAAGATTTTTGTTAAGATTGAATAACACACCTTGATATGAATCTTGAAACAAAACTAATTCTTTAATTTTTCTGTGTACACGGTATGTCCCAAAAAAGTAATGAGTCTATTATAAGTCCCGAAACACAATAGGTGTTGTAAACCTTAAACCATAAGAAATGGACCAATTGCAGTTGAATTTGAAGAGAATAATGGATTATGATTGGTCAATTTCTTACGACTTAAGGCTTACTACATCTATTGTGTTTCGAGACTAATTCTGAAAAAACCGTTTTATTAAAAATACACTTAATATTTTTCAAAGTAGGATTCTTGAGCATCAATATAACGGTTCCAGCGTTGTTGCCACTCTTCGTAGCACAGGAAGTCTTGATCGGACATGCCTTCCAGAACATTCGTCGCGATTGCCGGACTTTTTAATAGTCTCAAAATTGGTATCCGCCACTATTTTGAGACAATTAGAAAGGTCCAACAGTCGCGACGAGTGCTCTGGAAAATATGTCCGAGTCAAGACTTCCTGCGCTGCTACGAAGAGTGGCAGCAACACTGGAACCACTGTATTGACGCTCAAGGATTCTTTGAATAATATTAAGAGTATTTTTAATAAAACGGTTTTTTTTCATAATTGATCTCATTACTTTTGGGACATACCCACGTATAAACACAACCAAAATTAATTATTTCCACATATATTTTACATATATTTTGTATCTTTTAGGTGTTTTGTCACCCAGCGGTCATTGCAGACCTTTTGATATCGGTGCAAGTGGTTATTCGCGTAGCGAAACAGCGTCAGTGATATATCTTCAAAAAGTGAAGAATGCGAAAAGAATTTATGCCATATGTACACACATTAAATTAAACAGTGACGGTTACAAAGAAGAAGGAATAACATACCCATCGTCGTTTATGCAAAGTACTTTACTAACAGAATTGTACAATGAATGTGGAATACCGACATCTTGCTTGGATTACGTTGAAGCACATGGTACCGCTACCAAAGCTGGCGATCCCCCAGAAGTTAATGCAATTTCTAATATATTGTGTAAGAATAGAGAAACTCCATTAATGATCGGTTCTGTAAAATCCAATCTTGGTCATGCTGAACCTGCTAGCGGTTTCACTCAAATCGCTAAGGTAAAACAACTGCTATTTTTATTTATTATTATAAAATTTGTTTTCATTTTACGCAACCACATATGTACATACGCGTAAAGAGAAGATTTATTTTTCATAATTAAATATTATTTGAGAAGTCACTCTATCGTAGAGAAATTTAATGCTGTAATAAGTATTAAATTGGTTTATAGTGATTAATTATTTTAAGTATTAAAAGCACTGCTATCAATTTAATTACTTATTTAAGTATTAAAAGGTCTCTATCAATAACTTATACTTAAATTAAATACTTAAGCACTAATCAATATAATACTTACAGTATTAAATCACTAACCTGCAATTTTATCATCATCATCAAATTACTCTTTTTGGACGTAAACCTCTCTTAACCCTATCTAGATTAAAGGATTTTAGCCATTTTTTTTATCAAGCTGGTGCGGGTTGATAGGGTGATCAATTGATTTTATTTGGTATGCACATAGGTGCAACTCTCGGTAATTTGCCATTACCTTTCCGAGAGATGGCGATCGAATAAATTCAGATGTTTTTTTGTTTTATTATTGATTTTATTATTGATGGTCGTATTTGAATTCAAATCCTCAACATAGAGAGCAGACGCACAATGTATTCTCTGTGCCACGATTACTACTAATCAATTTAACATTTATTAAATTTATATTTAATATTTATAGAATGTATTAAAATGTCTAAGGGGTTGAACGAAGATTTATTAAAAGAAAGCGAGAATCTTTCATTAAATTCAGTTATTACTGAAATTAATGTAATAATAAAATTTTATACATTTGATACAATATGATTACTTATATAATTAAAATAGCTCTATTTCTCATTTTGTACTTTTGAAAAAAACAAACACATAGGACACAATATAAAGATCAGTTTATGGAAAAAATTTTTTTTAATGGTAGAATATACCCAAAACTTCAAAATTCAAAAAATTCAAATTGGCCATATTACTCAAACTGGTAGGTTAATAGGCCATGTCTTTTTTAATGCTAAAATGAGTCACAATAATTAAGGCTCTTGACTTATTGTCACCGCGACCATATTGGAATCGTGACGTTATAAACGAGAAATGACACGTTAAAGTTTCTTGCATGTCATTTATAAATGAAGAAAATTTAGATGAAACAAAAAATGGAATCACTTTAAAACATTTGTAAAAATGGAAAAATTATCCTTCTCCCCCTTTGACAGTCAGTAAAAGGCACGTAAAATGCATGCCTATATTCAGGCAGAAAAACACACGGTTTGTCATCAGTTGTTGAAAGAAATAAATAATATGTTTTTATGTATAAAATTCAAAAATAACATTACTTTCTATTTATTTTTACAAATAAGTACAAGACAAGTCACATTTTCACAATTTAGTACATTATATAATAACGAAACAAAATTTTGTCCTCAACATTTTTTAAAATGAAGTCCGTTTTACACTACATCGTCGTATGTCGGTATCATAATCTATTAAAAATTGATCAATTAAACGAGAATTCTCTTAACATTCGACTGTGATTGATCAATTCCTACTGTTTATAATACCGGCAAACAGCATTATTGTGGAATTCTTCCGGCTTACAATTTTGATTTACGCTCCTTTTTGTTCTTACATTTTATTTTCGCCAGAATGACATTATCTTCACTTTGTCCGTTCCAACTTTAGCGTTGAAGTCACCCATTATTATATTGATGTGATATTCTTTAAAATTATCTATGACAATTGATATTTCCGCATAAAATTTTTCTCGTTTTGGTGTTTGTCTGCTTTGGATACATGTATTTGTATATCAAGTTTATTAATATATTATCCGCTTTCAAGTGTAGTAGTGCTGATCTTTCAGAGTATGGCGCGAAGTTTTGTACGCTATTAGCAGTTCTTTTCCTTCTATCTAAAAAAGTACATGTAAAGTCGATAACTCGCATTTCTCGAAATTATTTGTTGCCGCTTTTCCGCGATACTGATTGGTTGTCTCGCTGCGCTAACTTCGTGTAAGCGGTTGTGTCATTGCATTTTGATAGTGTATATTGAGGTTAATGTTATTGTAAATTGTAATAAGAAGTGTTAAATAGCGCGCGCGAAGCGCGTGTTTGTAGTGCTAATATCTATAAGAAACGCAATGCCATACTGTTACGGAGAATTATCTTTTCCTTCAAAGAAATAAATGATGTGGTCGTCAATTTCTGTTCAAGTGTAGGCGAGTGCGTCGCTATTTTGGACATAAGAAAAAAAAATATTTTTTTGGTTTCTTATACAGGGTGTCCCATAATAACCGCCTAATTTCTCGTGGGTTGGTAGAGCAGATTAAACTGAACAGAAAAGTCCTTTACCATTTTACAAAATTCGCAATCGTTAACGAGATATTAATTTTTGAAGATTGGCGAATAAACACGAATCCATCCGGCCCACCGCTGAATACCAGAGGTAGGGCGGTCGTGCCAGTCGTATCTCGCCTCGCTGCTAGGCATGTGGGGATAGACTCTATCCCCATACGCTTAGCAACGCGACGAGATATGGCCGTCCCACCGCTGGTATTCAGCGGTGGGTCGGACGAATACGCGTTTATTTGCCAATCTTCAAAAATTAATATCTTGTTAACGATTGCGAATTTTGTAAAATGGTAGAGGACTTTTCTGTTTAGTTTAATCTGCTCTAC